GTACTTGGCCAACACCCTAGGGGAGTGGTTCAGTCATGACTGAATCCAGAGGAAAATGGCTGTTCACTGCACACCCTTCTCTCCTCACTCTGAAGGCTGTGGCTCAGACTATGCCAGGAACAAAATGGAGCTGGGGTTAGGGGAGATGGCAAGCCTGTTCTGATTCAGGTCACTTCTACAAATCTTTGCTGAAAACATGCTAATACATACTCCCTTTGCTTGCCTGCTTTGTCTCTCCTCACTCCACAATCCTTGAAGCACTTTTTCAAAACCTCTAGAGTCCTGAAGGGGTGTTTGGAAATGACTAGTTTAGACTGATCCTCAACCAATGCAAGTCTTCAGAAAGCATATTGCTGCCTTACGTCCCAGGGGTGCTTATTCTGAAGAATTTGAAACTATTTCCGAATACCCAAATCAACTTGCTTCTTTCCTACCTTGATCTGCTATTTTAAATTCTGTCTCTTCAGGTTGCATGGCATAAATCTACGCTATCCATTTCCTCTGACTGATCAATACCACTCACTAGTCAATATCCATCTTTCAATCCTAACTCTGTTCTGTGTTACGTACTCTGACAAACCTACCCCGGTGCTCCCTGTGTCCCCCAGTTCCTTAGTGTACCTGCACAGACACTCTTTGACACTTGTGCTTGCAGGCTTCATTATCTTTGACATACTTTAAGCTTTCCAAAGAGGAACAACATCTCTTGAAGGATGGATAGTGTTAGTTTTTATGACTATTTCCATGTCCCTTCACTGGTTTGGAGACAAGGAGATAAATGCTCACATGTGTGCAGAGGTCTTCCATAAATTATCCCTAACCACTATTAGTCTACTTACTTTTACGATATTTCCTTACAAAAATCTTCTACCTCTAATCATATCTACCTCCTAAACTATATTCTGTGTCTTCCTTCTTTGCTTTCCTTCTTGTGTGTTTCTAATTTCAACCTCTTTCCCTCTAGGAAGTATTAGCCTGGGGCATACAAACAACTGTGTACACAAATATATTTATTTGTTATGGGAGAGGTTTTACATGTTATATACAATGTTCACAGAGTCCCATGACTTTAAAAAAAGATCAAAATTCCCTATTATAATGCCCTCCTCCTTTATTTTTGTGGTACTGGGGAATAAACCCAAGGCCTTTGCAATGAGTCACATCCTCAGACCTTTTTAAGTTTTTGAGAAAGGGTCTCGCTGACTCACCAAGTTGTCCAGGCTGGGCTTGAATTTGTGATCCTCCTGCATGACCTTCCAAGAATGGTGGGACAAAAAGCATGTGCTATCACACCTGTGTTGCCTTTTCTTAATCAAATCTCCGCTATTTTCAAAGGTCCAATTTGGGTCCCTGGATCCACAGAACCATTCATATTGAGGAGACGTCTTAGGAGATTTATATAGATAGATATCTACATATCTATGATAGATATGGATATCCATCTATATATTTTAAACTTATTGAATATATATTCAGTAATTTTAATTGATATCTTACTTTGTGAAAACTTAAAATTAATTTCTTCATTATGACCTCTTTTATTTAATGTTTCTTGATTATAAACTCTTCACAGTAATTTTAGAGCCTTTTTGTTATATACATACTTTCTACAAAGCAAGTATTCAGCAGCTACTACTCTGGACTTAGATGAAGCTGTTGAGTTATCTTCAATTTCAGGTGAATAGCAACTCAATTTATGTGTTTTTTTTTTTTTGTTGTTGTTGTTGTTTTCCGGTACCAGGGACTGAACTCTGGACCTTGTGCTTGTGAAGCAGGTGCGGTGCCACTGAGCTAAATCCTTGGCCAGAAACTCAATTTTATTTATTTACTTTTTTTCCTCTCATTGAGTTTATTGGTACATTTTAGGTATACAGTAAAGTTACATTCATTATTGGGATCTTGTACCTTTACATGACAGGTCTTGGTTCTCATTTTTTTCCCTTGTCCCTGCCCTCCCTTCACCCCCTCCTCTTCTCCCCATTTACAATCACTTTATTTCCATTTTTTCATATTTTTTTCTTTCCCTTATTGCCTTTCCCCTACCCTTCCCACTTTCCCTAAACCTTTAGCCCTTTTCTTCCTATTTCACATTGTTAATTATATTATTAGGGTCTTATGTACCATTATAGTTTTTCACACAAGAGAAACTACTCAGTATTTACACGTGTGACTTATTTATTTCACTTAAGAGTATATCCTCAATATGCATCCATTTTCCTAAGAATGACGCTAATTTCTCATTCTTTATGGCTGAATAGTATTCCACTTTATAGAAAAAACACATCTTCTTTATTCAGTCTCCAACTGATGGGCAAATGGGCTGTTCTGAAGTTTTAGCTATTACAAATTGTGCTGTGCTGGGAGTGGTGGTGGACACCTGTAATACCAGCACTTGGGAGGCTGAGGCAGTAGGACTGCTGTGAATTTGAGACCAGCCTGGGCTACAGAGTGAGTTCCAGGTCAGTCTCAACTACATAGTGAGACCCTGTCTCAAAAACAAAACAAAAAACTGTGCTGCTATAAACATAGGTGCACATATATCACTGTGATATGATTCTTTTTTTTTCTTTTTAATGTTTTTTATTTCATTATTATCCAGTGCTAGAGATGGAAACCATTCAGCCCATTTTTTTTTTTTTCTCATCTCTCTCTTGGTACCAGGATCAAACTTGGGACCTTGCACTTGTGAGGCAGGCGGCAGCACCACTGAACTAAATCCCTGGCCCTCTTTCTCTGTTTTTTGAGACAAGGTCCCACTATGCAGCCCAGGGTGGCCTCAAGCTTGCAGTGATCCTCCTGCCTTGGTCCCCTGAGTGCTGGGATTTGGGATTGCAGATGTGCATCTCCACAGGGCACCACGCAGCCCACTCTTCTGACGAAGCAACCAGGCCTAGGGAGGCCCCGCTGCATGGTTCACTGGCTTTTCCCAAGCCCTGTCTTCCCTTTTCAGCAAACTTCCAGAGCAACTGGTCCACATTGACCTTCTCCAAGATGTTTGAACTCCCCGTGGATCTGGTCCCTGAGTCCAGCCCCCAGCCTTGTCCTGTCCCCCAGGTGGCCTCACCTGACCAATCTGCACATGTGTATCCTCCACCAATCAGGCTGGGAACCCAGGAAACACTGTCTAGGAAGGTGGGTCCTAGAACCCAACCTGACCAATCAGAAAGCCCAGGTCTCTAGCTGCAGTGATTGATTTGGGGTGCAGCCAATGAGATTCTGCCCTAGGACTTTGGCTGGAAGCATGGGAAAAGAGACACTTTTGATTCCTGAGGCTGGAGGTTGTTGGGATGGAAATGCAGGCCGCTGGTGACCACTCCCCCTCCACGTGTATGCACACAAGTGTGCACGCGCACATCTAGGGTCAAGCAGGAGTGAAGGTCCCCAGGGAGGAAAACACATTAGACAAGAAGAGAGACACCACTTCCTGCCCCTTGATATGATTCTTTTAACTCTTTTGGAGAGATACCCAGCAGAGGGATGGCAGGAAATGGAACCTCTAGACCCAGCTCTTTGAAGTATCTCCATATTGATTTCTATAATGGTTGTACCAGTCTGCACTCCCACCAACAGTGGAGAAGAGTTCCTTTCTCCCCACAACCCTGCCAACATTTCTTATTGTTTGATTTCTTGATAGCAGCCATTCTTTGTGGGGTGATGTGGATTCTCAGTGTTGTTTTCATTTGCATCTCGCAAATGACCAGTGATGTGGGACATTTTTTCGTATATTTACTTGCTGCTTTTACTTCTTTGTCTGAGAAATGTCTGTTTATTTCAGATGTCCATTTTTGAATTGGGTCTTTATATTTGGGGGGCTGATTGTTTTGAGTTCTTTATATAGTCTAGATAAGAGTGTTTTGTCTGAGGAGCAGCTGGTAAAAAAATTTTCCCACATTGTAGGTTGTCTTTTAGTTTTGTTAATGGTTTCTTTTGCAGTGCAGAAGCTTTTTAATAAGATGAGATCCCCAGTTGTTGATTCTTTTTTTTTTTGGTACCTGGGATTGGGTCCTTGTTCTTGCAAGGCAGGCGGCGGAACCACTGAGCTAAATCCCCGGCTCAGTTGTTGATTCTTTCTGCTTGTTCCCGTGCTACTGAGGATTTGTTCATAAAGTCTTCCTATGCCAATGTCTTCAAGAATTCTGCCCAACTTATCTTCCAACAAGTTTAGGGTTTCTTTTTTAATATTTAGATCTTTAATCCACTTGCATTTTAGTTTAGTGCATGGTGAAAGATAAGGGTCTAGTTTTAATCTTTGGCAGGCTGAAATCCAGTTTTTCTAACACCATTTATTAAAGAGACTATCTTGCCTCCAGTGAGGATGGTCGGCTCCTTTGTCAAAGATGAGGTTGATGAGTACATCTGGAATTGTTTTTGTATCTTCCAATCTGTTCCACTAATCCTCAGGTCTGTTTCTTTACCAGTACCATGCTGTTTTTATCACAGTGGCTTTGTAGTGTAGTTTCAAATTGGGAACTGTTGTACCCACTGCCATGTCTCTGTTGCCTAGGATGGCTTTTGCTATTCTAGGTCTCTTCTGGTTCCAAATGAATTTTTGGATTAGTTTTTCTAGTTCTGTGAAATATAGTGTTGGAATTTCAATTGGCATTGCATTGAATCGGTATAGCAGTTTTGGTAGTATGGCCATTTTCACTAAGTTTATTTTTCCTACCCAGGAGCAGGGGATTTCTTTCCATTTTCTTATATCCTCTTTGATATAAGAAAGAGTGCTTTCTTTTTTCAGAGTGCTGTAGGTTTCAGTAGAGGTGTTTTACTTCTTTCATTAGATTGATTCCTAGATACTTCCATTTTTTGGGATGCTATTGTGAAAGGAACTGTTTCCCTAATTTCTTTCTCAGTGTTTCTGTTATTTGTGTACAAGAAGGCTATTGATTTTTGAGTGTTGACGTTGTATCCAGCTACCAGAAACTCAATTTTAAAGGTGCACATTAGTGTGACACTGTGATTGGAACTGGGCAAAATGTCACAAACAGCTGCCCCCTTACCTCTGCTTTACGAATATTTTCTCTAGCTTCCTCTATTTTCTGATCCAGCTCTGCTCGGCTTTGTTCAGATACAGCAACTGCATGACATTCCAGATCATTTAGAACCTATCAAAGAAAACAGGAAAATAATAATGACTGTTTTATTTTTTTCATCTTCATTCCTTAAGTGACTAGAATATTTAGATAATTCAAAAGGCGGGCTGGGGATTTAGCTCAGTGGTGCCACCACTTGTCTTGCAAGCACAAGGTCCAGAGTTTGATTCCTTGTACACACATGTACACAAACACACACACACACACACACACACACACACACACACACAATTTAAGATAAAAACATAAGTGGAAATTGGATATTTTAACTTTAATACACATTGCCCTGAAAGGTTACATTCTATGCTTTAATCACACTGGATATTGTCAACCATTAAAATTACGACAATATAATATTTTATGATACTTTAAAATGTTATTGTTTTAATTATTATGTTTTTGATTAATAGAAAACATTATTTCATGTGTTGATGGCCATCTCTATTTCTACTTCTATGAATGGGCAATTTACATCCTCATCAATTTTTCTATTTTTTGTTTTTTATTATTTAAATGTATTTCTTTATTGATATTAATTTTTTGTGATTTATGTTACAAATATTTCCTTCCACTGTATTCCCTTTCTCTCTTTATATTATTTATAAATACATATATTTTTCTTTTTTTGTGTGGCACCGAGGATTGAATCCAGACCTATAACTGAGCTATAGCCTCAGACCTTTTAATTTAGCTTTTAAAATTTTGAGATAATTTCTGATTAAGTTGTCCAAGCTGGCCTCTAAATTATGTTCCTCCTACCTCAGCCTCTTTTGTAGCTGGGATGACAGGTGTGCACCATCACACCCTGCTGAAATTTTTATTTTTATATGGTCACATTTATGAATCTTTTCCTTTATATTTCCTAGCTTTGTGTCATATTTAAGAAGGTATCTATAATATACCAAAAACATTCTCAGTTTTTGTTTAGTACCTAGATTGTTAACTGTTCTAAAAATTTTTCTACATAGTTCAAGAGAGAAATCTAATTTTATGTATTTTTTTCTCTAAACACAAACCCAATTCCTCTAACATCATTTACTCAATAATTTCCCCAAAGATTTGAAATGCCTTTTTTAAATGGTGGAGATTGAACTCCAGGACTTCACACTTGTAAAGTATGCATTTTACCACTGAGACACACCCCCTAGCCCAAGGTATTTGCTGTCATGAGAAATTTCAAATATACTCAAAGGTAGAATTTAGCACAACAAAAATTCCCAGATATCAATCTCTGTGATTCAAAATATGGCAAGATTTTTCCACATGTGCTTTATCTATCCTTTTTATTAGCTACTACATTTTAAAGCAAATTCCAGATATTAACTTAATTCCTATTCAATTTTGTACAAGCCTGTAAATATGTGAAATTTTTACACAACCACAATACCATTATCAGACCTAAAAGTAATTTCTTGGTAGTCTCTAATGTGCAGCTCATCATTAAACAGCCTCTCACAGTTGGCTGGTTTGGGTTAGTATCTCAATAAGGTCTTTATACCAAATTACCATTCACAGATCATTTTCTTTGTAAGTTTACTAACTTCTATGCCATACCACCATTTTGATTTCTATGGTCATTACTGCATAATTCAGTTTGTGGTAAGGCATATAAGTCACTGTTATTCTGTTTTTCTTTAAGTGTTTACACATTACCAAGGTCTGTAGGATTTTATTACAGTAAATAAAGACAAATGATTTTATAGTATTTCCAGGCATTTCATGAATGGTCAGAGCAACTGAGTATACAACATAACTCACAACAGAGTGCTGTGAACAATTTATTTAACTGAAATGCCATACACTAACTTCCATTTATTTTATTTTTTTGGTACTGGGAATCAAACTCAGGCCCTTGTGCTTGACAGGCAGGCACTGTGCTGTTGAGCTACATCTTCGGCCCACTTCCATTTATTTTGATACATCTTTTCCCTGTGGTGATTTATAGAGGATTTTTAAGCCAATATAAAGATTTCATAAATATTTGGCCACTTGGGTATACACTTGCACAATACCTCACATCTTTCAGAAAACAAAAACAAAAACAAAAAATATCCAAGTATAAAGACCTGACATAACTAACTAGGCACAATGAAAATCTGCTCCAAATATTTCTCAGAAGTAAAAGCATCACACACTTGTTCAATTAAGAAAACCATCCTTGTCGTTCAGAATGGTTTTTATTTTTAAGCAGGGCTTAGAACACTTAGCTACTAATTAGGTACTGAATAGCAGAGCTATATCCCCAGCTTATGCCATGAATTTATAGGGAACAGGTTCCAGCAACTCAGGCTCCTTCCCATTGGGTCTCACCACGTATGCTTCTCTGAGTGGGGCAGGCTGGCACTTCAGTTGAACCCCGGTACCTTTTTCTTTGGTTTTCTTCTTTTTCTGATCATTTTCCTTGATACATTTCAGGAAGTTATCTTAACTCTGAGTGTTTAATATGCTCAATACATACATTAATTCTCTTGGCAAATACCTTGCCCTTAACTTGCTTATTTACAACAATGCCAACAACATGCTGGGTAACACTATAGACTCTTCCAGTTTTGTCATAGTAACATTTGTTTGGCATTCTTTTTTGAATAGTACCCATTCTCTTGATGTCTACATCACCCTTTTTACAGATTCCCATATATGTGGCCAAGGAACAATGCCATGTTTTCTAAAAGGCCTAGAGACCATGTAATGGGTTCCTCTCCTCTTTTTCTTTGTGTACATCATTTTGGCAAATTACTGGAAGATGGTGATTCTCATATACTTTAAAGAAATTCCAGAAACATTTTAGAATCAGACTGTCAACTTACTTTAAAACTATCTTGTAAGTTTCACTGAAATTACAAATAACTTTAGTATAACATCCACATTTTTGCATCTCCCCAGTCATGTTGCTACTATATTCTTTGGCTAAAAAAAACAAACTTTCTTCTTATTGGTCATGAGATTTCCCTCATTCATTCATCAGTACTTTATTGTGGTATGGATAATAGTTTTCCAACTGCATTTGCAATTTATTATTGCTGATTAATAAAAATAAAGATTTTTAAAAACAGAGTTCTGTATCTATTCATTTTATTGAACTCTAATTGACAGTGGGGTCTCTTACTGGGGGATACAACAATATTATTTATAAATGACAATAGATGTGTCTTTTCCTAATATTTATGTATTTTTTCCTAATATATTGACTCATCAATCCTTTAAAATACTGAATAGCAGTGGTGATGATGGGCATTACTTTCTTTTATTTGGTTTTTTGAGACAGGGTCTCACTATGTAGTTCAGACTGCTCTGGAACTCACTGTGTAGCCCAGGCTGGTCTCAAAATCACAGCATCCTCCTGCCTCAGCCTCCCGAGTGCTGGGATTACAGGTGTGTGCCACCACGCCTGGCAGACTTTCTTGTTTTATCATGTAATAAGTAGAATAGCTCTGAAGATGTCCACACCCTAATCTCTGGAACTGTCGATACATATGAGGGAATTTGCTGAAGCACTAGTTATGGGTCTTAAAATAGTGAGATTATCTTTGTCTGAATGAGCCCACTCTACCCACATGATGCCTTATAAGCAGAGAACTCTGGCTGGAGTAAGATAAGAGATGGGAAGGAAGGATGTCAGAGATTCTAAGCAGGAGAAGGGTTCAATGCACTATTGCTGGCTCTCATAGGTAGAAGCAAGAATAAGTGAGAATATTTTTTAGAAGCTAAAGTTACTCTCAGCTAATAGTTAGGAACAGATAGGGAACTCAGTCCTATAAGTACAGGGAACTGGATTCTAACAACAGCCTGAATAAGCTTTTAAGCAAATTCTCCCCCAGAGGCCATGCTGACAGACACCTTGATTTTTTTTGGTACCGGGGATTGAACTCCGGTCCTTGTGACTGCGAGGCAGGCGGCAGAACCACTAAGCTAAATCCCCGGCCCCTACCTTGATTTTGACTATGTTGGTGCAACAGCCTGAACTTCACAGTAATAGCTTGTCTCTAAAAAAACCAAACTAAAACAAAATAAAGTATCTTTATTGCTAATTTGTCTTAAAACCAGCTTAAACTCTAGCTTAAAACTTATTCAGAATTGTTGGTCTAAAATGGATGCACATTGAGGCCACACTCTTAAGTGAAATAAATAGGACACACGTGTAATACTGAATAGTTTCTCTGGTGTGAAAAACTGAAAGTGTAAATAAGGTTCAAAATGTATAACTGATAATGTAAAATAGGAAGAAAAGGTCTAAAGAAGTAGGGGAAGTTGGAAGGGTAGGGGAAAGGAAAGAAGGGAGAAGAAAAAATATGAGAAAAGGGAAAAAATGGAAACAAAGTCTAAACAGAGAAGGGCTGGGAGGGGTTGAAGGGAGGGCAAGGGAATGGGGAAAAATAAGAACCAAGATACATCCTGTAAAGGTACAAGATCTCAATGATGAATGTAACTGTATTGTATACCCAAAATGTAGCAATAAACTTAATGGAAAAAATTGATCTAGGTTAGATTACTTGTACTATCATATATCTTTGAGAATCAACTAGTCAGGTTCTACAAAAAACCCAGCTGGGTGTTTGACCAGGACTGCCTTGAATATATGGAAATAAGTGGTATTTTAAAAATAATTGAGATTCAAAAATTAGTCAATATGTGTATAGAATCTGTATGGGTCTACATTGTTCTGTATATACATAGAACAGTGCCGGTGCAGTACATCCCCAACTTATGAAGGAGTTCTGTTCTGGGAGAACATTTGTAAGTCAGATTCGTTTGTAATCTGACAAAATGAGTATTACACTGTATACCTGGTCACAGTTTTCAACTTGAATGTTCATACTATTTAAAACTCTACAGTTTTTTATTTTTGGTATCAGGGATGGATTGAACTCAGGACCTTGCGCTTGTGAGGCAGGCGGTGGCACCAATGAGTTAAATCCCTGGCCCAGAAACTCTATAATTTTATAAACTTTGAAAGAGAAAGCAGGATTTTTCCAACCTATCCCTTTTTCAAGACTACTTTGGTTGTTTGGAGTCCCTTCAGATACTATGTGAATTAAAAGGATAGCCTTTTCTGCTTCTGAAAATAACTGTTGGGGTTTCGACAACGATTGCATTAAATTTGAAAATCATTTTGGGTGGTACTGTCATTTAATAATATATTCCATTCCATGAACACTGGATGTCTTCTGATTGGGATTTTGATAGGGATTTACTGAATCTGTAGATCATTCTGGGTGGTACTGTCACCCTGCCAATAGTTTCCATTCCATGAACATGTGAAAGCTTTTCACTTATTTATAGTCTCTAATTCTTTTTCATCATCATTTTGTAGTTCTTCTTGGTTAAGTATACTTCTAAGTATGTTCTTTTTGGTGCCATTGTAAGTGGAGTTTTTTCTTAGTTTTCCTGTTGCTGTCAGGGAATCGGGAATTAATTTCCTTTTTGGATTGTTTATTATTAGTTATAGAAATGCAACTTACTTTGGTATGTTGGTTTTTTTATCTTGCAACTCTGCTATATATGTTTATTAGCTTTAACACTTTTGTTTGTTTTGGTGGAAACTTTAGTTTTCTTTTTTAAATTTTCTTTTTTATTTTTCTGCCAGTACTGGGAATTGAGCTCAGGAGGCAGGCACAGTGCCACTGAGCTAAATCCCCGGCCCTATTTTTTTGAGATAGGCTCTCGTTTTATAGTTCAGATGACCTTGAACTCACTATGCCGCCCAGGCTGGCCTTGAACTCAGTAAACCTCCTGCCTCAGCCTTCTGAGTGCTGGGATTGCAGGAATATGCCACCATGCCCTGCAACTTTAGAGTTTCTATATGCTAGTTTATGTCATCTATGGACAGACATAGTTTTGCTTCTTCTTTTCCAATTCAAATGCCTTTTTCATAGCTTTTGCTTGACTAGCTCCTCTGCCTAGGACTTCCAGGACTACTATCATAATCAGACACGATGAAAATGGGCACTCTTTGTCTGTTTCTGATCTTAGATGTTTTCAGTGCAGATCATCAGTAATTTATTTATATATACATATATATATTTTGGGGGTGGGTAGGGTCTTGCTATGTAGTTTAGGCTCGCCTCACATGCCTGGTGATCCTTCTGCCTCAGCCTCTGTAATGCTGGGTCAATTTTTTTTTTTAAAAAACAAATTGATTATGATGTGCTTTGATGTGATATTTTTGGTGTTTTACCTGCCTGAAGTCTACTGAGCTATTAGCAAAAACCTGGCTTTGGGGGGGTTTTGGTGAAGACATGAGTATACTCCACATGCAAGATGTAAACAGCTATGTTTGAAAAGAAGACTGTGGTGGATAGTATTTTTTTAAAAAAATCAGCTAATAAAGGGCAGGGGATTTAGCTCAGTGGTTCTGCCGCCTGCCTTGCAAGCGCAAGGACCTGAGTTTGATCCCTAGTACCAAAAAAAAAAGAAAGAAAGAAAAGAAAAGAAAAGAAAAAAAAATCAGCTACTACAGTATTTCCCATTCTACATATTCTTAAGAAAGAAAGAAAAGAAAAGAAAAGAAAAGAAAAAAAAATCAGCTACTACAGTATTTCCCATTCTACATATTCTTCTAGAACTTTGCTATTTTTCTTCAAAAGTAGAGTGTGTGTTCTCTCACTAAACTGTTGACAGGTTTTTGTGAATGCTAGAATTAATAAAATAGGATGCAAGTATCACCATATTTTTGAGGCCAAAATCAGAAGGCTAGTTCTAGTTCTACTTTTTCACTCTTGGAATGCACAACTCTGGGGCTCTGCACTACCATGTAAAACATATCTAACCCAAGCTGCTATGATGGACCATATGGAGAGAACAGAGTGACAGAGGTGCATGAGAAACTTTACCTGTCCCAGTTCCAAACTGTTCAAATCTTCCCAGCTCAAGCACCGGGTATTTCTTTCTTTCTTTTTTATTTTTATTTTTTAGTTTTTTGAGACAGGGTCTTACTATGTAGTCAAGACTGACCTGGAACTCACTATGTAACCCAGGCTGGTCTTGAATTCACAGCGATCCTCCTGCCTCAGCCTCCCGAGTGCTTGGATTACAGGTGTGCGCCACCACACCCGGCTACTGGGTATTTCAATGGTGAATTCTGTGAGATGACACCAGCGCAAGCTACCATCTGTCTGACACCATGTGAGAGACCCCAAGTGAGAACTACCAAGCTGAGACTACACAATATCCAGAATAGTGACATGATCTTTAAAAATGCACTGATGGCACATGCCTGTAATCCCAGTACTCAGGAGGCTGAGGCAGAAGGATTGCTATATGTTTGAGGTCAGCTTAGGCTACACAGTGAGTTCAAAGCCAGCCTGAACTACACAGTGAGACCCTATCTCAAAAAACCAAAACCTGAAATAAAAACTAATCAAAAAAGCACTTTTTATGGTGTTAAGTTTGAAGTATTATTTTATACTGCATTAGATAAATGAACATAGAATTTGAAATGGTTGCAAGATAGTAAAATAAGATGTCAAAGCAGGAAAGAGGATATAATATATGGATATTAGGATATAAAATCCGTATATAATATAAAAGAGGATATAATATACTAGCAGGGCCCATTGTTAGAAATATTTATTTATAATCTGGCAGTAAAATCATGGAAGTGGTTGAGACTGCCCATAGTGAGAGAAATGATAAGAAAAAAAAATTCCTAATACCGAACTCTAAGGAATTTAAACATTTAATTGCAAAATGGAAAAGGAGAAACCCATGAATCTAGGAATGGCCAGAGAGGCAGAAGGAAAATCAGAACAACGAATCATGGGTGTCTAGGGAAGAGAATGCTTTAAAATGATTAGAATTGTTAATTGTGATGGAACTGCTAACCAGTGAAGAAAAATGAGAAATCAAAGTGTCAAGTTTAGATAAGTTTAGTCCGAAGAGGAAGGAAAAGAAGAGAAAGCTTAAATGTAACAATGGGCTGAAAAACAAATGGTAGGTGAGGGTACAGAGATGATAAGTATGGACAATTCATGCATGCTAGTCAAGTACTTATGACTGAGCTACGTCCCTAGGCTAGGCTAATTCTTTTAAGAGGTTGGATGTGAAGGTAAAGAAAGAGGATATAGATATAAAAAAATGAAACCGAGGGCTGGGAATTTAGCTTAGTGGTGTCACCACCTGCCTTGCAAGCACAAGGTGCTGAGTTTGATCCCTAATACAAAAAAAAAAAAAAAAAAAAAAAAAAAAAAAAAAAGAAACAGGAAAAAAAAGCATCACCATATACATACATAAAATAATTTCTGCTGCCTAACAGATTAGTTTTGAAAAAACTTTCATGTAATCCAGAATTGTGTCATTAAAAATGTCTTGTGAAATAAAAGCCTACTTTATTTATTTATTTTTGGGTACCAGGAATGAACTTAAGACCTTGTGCTTGCCAGGCAAGCACAGTGCCACTAAGCTAAATCCCTGGTCCCTAAAAGCCTACTTTAATTCAACATATGTATGTCTCTTCCCCACCTAAAAGACTACAACATGATTATCAGCCTTTCTTAGGCAAGTGTACTGAAAACTAATAAATTAATGTGTTGCCGCTAGAAGCAGTGGAATTTGAGACAAGTAGATTGCTTCCAGTGATGGTGACCTTTTAGAGCTTTCAATGATACAAACAGCCTGCTATGGCACACATGCCATAGGTTCGCTACCATTAGCTTAGCTGTTCAGTATGGAGAAAATACAGAAATCAAAAAAAAATACAGGTTACTTTAATCATGAATAAAATTCAACACCTTAAACTGATATTTGGTTTAAGCTGAATTAGCTAGTACTCTCTCTACTACACTTACCCGTTGTTGATGAACAATATTTTTGTGCTCACGCGCCACACGTGTAGCCCATTTCCGCGCCTCTTTATTTAGACTGTGCTCTTCTGTCGTACCAGTTTCTGATTCTAATTGTCGGCTCTACAACAGAGAACAGAGAGAAGAGTACTGTCATCCTTACTGCAACTATTACTACTCAGTAGTTGGACCAGAGGGCCTTCACTTTAATCAGCATTCAAAATAGGAGTTATGGGGCCAGGGATGCAGCTCAGTGGTACCGTGCCTACCTGGTAAGCACAAGGTCCTGAGTTTGATTCCAGGTACTGAAAAAAAATCCCACCAAAACAAACAAACAAACAAACAAACAAAATAGGAGGCATGCCTAACTACTGTGGAGCAATGTCTCATGTCACAGAAAGTCAGCAGGAGGCTAAGAAGATGGTATCAAACCATAAATGACCACAGGCCTTTTGTCTTATATTGCCAAATATGTGATCTTCATCTTTACTACTATGGACTTATTTTTTTTTTAATTGTGAAGAAAGCTAGCTAAGAAGAAACAATATCCATGTAATCTTCTATGACACTAAAATCATTGTACAGATACATGTGAACCATTTAAGAGTTTCAATCAGACTAAAGAAAGACTCTTTAAATAGAAGAGAGAAAAGAAGAACAAAACATTAACAGCAGCACAATTCTAAACCCCTGAACCAAGATACTGGATTTAATTTAGTGAGAGGTCCATTACTAACTTTCTACCATAACTTAAACTAGTTTTTGCACTTTTCCTGGGCTTTAATGTCTTCATATGATAGAAAAGGGTACTAGATCAAAAATCACAAGTAACTTCTAACTGAAATTTTATGATGCTGTTTCATACAGAACTTCAAAATCTAAACAAACAATGTAATAATTCAACCCTACTATACAAGAAACTCTAGAAAGTGCTTCATATAACATTTTTAGACTCGGCATGCATTTTTTCCAATGATTGTATAAACTATGTTTAAGGTTGTATGTTTAAATTATTTATGCTCTTGAGAGGATATTAGATATGCACCTGAGATGGAAGCTCCAATTTGAAATTCTATTACTTCCTTCAAAATGAAGGGTAGTTCTTAGTTAAATAAAGATTAATGATATCATCTAAAAAATGTTTCCAGGAAAGGACCTTCTTCACTATCCATATAAGCAACTGAAGCTTATTTTATGTCTTGAATGAAAGAAAATGATGCTTTAAAACATAAAAGCCAACTAATCAATGAGATGCAGAAAACTGATCACATGCAGCTTTGGATTACAAAATATCACATTTGACCAGTTGTAGGCTATTAATCAGAAACCCACATAACTTTTATAAAAAGTTTATGAGGTAGGTCAAACAGCTTTCTATTTTTTAAAAAATTTATTGGTACATATTTGTGCTACATAATGATTATATTCCTTGTGAGAAGCTGGTACATGTACATAACACATCTTAATGTTTTTTTCATTTCCTTCCACTTCCCTTTTCCCCGCTCACACGTGGATTTCATAGAAAAGGAAACCAGGGTACAGAGAGGTAAGTCATTTTTTCCAGTGTTTTCCAGACATTACGAGTTACAACCTTCCCTAAACAAATGTGAATCAGAGCTATTAACCACAAAACTATTTTTAATCCTTTACAAACTCTTAAGAACCCATGAAAAATAAACTTTATTATTAAAATAATTAGGGAAGAAAATATATAAATATTTAAAATATGATAAACTATTAAAATATTATAAATAAGAAATCAGGATTTCTTGTATAAAATGAAAAATATTATAATGAAACAATTTAAAAAATTAATCTCATAGCTCAAATTTAACAGAGCAAGTAGAAATTGACATATTAGATTAAAAATTTTTTCTTTGGTACTGGGGAATCAAACTCAGGACCTTGTGTTTGCAAGGCAGGCGAGGTGCCAGTTGATCTAAATCCCCAGCCCTAAAATTTTTCATATTTTGGGGGCACTGTGATAAGGCAGGTTAGAAAATTATTTGCTCTATATAGATATTTTAGCTAAAGTTAGATTATACAGTAACAAATGAAAAACAATAAAAATTCATATCTAGCCAAATTTTACGTCTACATTTTATATTTTATTTCATTCTTTGGGCTACCAGGAATCTGAGAACCAACTTTATTATTGTATTTTATGCAAATGGATCTCAGCATTCAAATTTATATCTGTCCTCTGAAGGCAGGGACATTAAAATATTAAACCCAGACAGATGCAAATGAAATATAGATTAGCTAGAAGACTCTAAAGTAGAAAGGTGTACTTGAAGTCCAAAGATAGGTTTTTGAGCCTGAAACACTTAGTATTCAATCCATTGTATGCCATTTATAAGCTTTATGATCTTTATTAGTATGAGTCTTAGCTACATCTGAAAACTGGTGAAAATGCTATGGATCTTCTAAGGGCTTTTGGGCTACCACAAGGCCATATTTTAAACATTCTAGTATGGTAGCTACATATATTAGTTACCTAATATATGTATTTGTTAAAGACCCAGCTGAAAATTACTTGAAACAAACAAACAAAAAATGGCATTACTACTCATTTAAAAAAATCCAGATAACTCCTAGGTAATTTTTTTTCTTCCATTCCCAACCAATAATAGGGACTGCATCCAGGGCCTTACATATGCTAGGTAAGCACTTTATTATTGAGCTATACCCCCAGCCCAAGTCCTAGATACTTTTTCCCACCCTAGATTCTTGCTAGCCCAGAGAACCAATAAAAAACAAGACCAAATATACTGAAAGGTGAAGGCAGATCTCAAGAGCATAAACCTGCAGAGAGTAGAGGAGACAGGGGGCAACTGTTGGAGAGATTTAATTTTTATTTACTAAGCAGCAATTTTAGGAACAAGTAAATGGTTTAAAATGTGTGCTGACCTTGGATGGGCCCTAACCCAAATTTCCACACAGAATTTGTACCATTTATTTATTTTATTTAATTTTTTGGTAGCAGGGATCAAACTTGGATCCTTGTGTTTATGAGGCAGATGGTGGCACCACTGAGCTAAATCCCCAGCCCTGAACCTTTTAATCTGGTTGTGGTGGCACATGTCTGTAATCCCAGCACCGTGGAAGACTAATATGGATCACAGGTGTAAATCGTCTGTGAAATTTAGCAATTTAGCAAGATTCTGTCTCAAAAAAAGGACTGGAGATGTAACTCACTGTGAAGACCCTGGCTTCAATCCCCAGTACAAAAAAAATCCCAAAAAACAAAAAATAAAAAAACTGCACCCTTTTGCCGAGTATTCACTGTGTTTAAGAGTTGGGTTAAGTAGGGCTGGGATTTAGCTCAGTGGTGCAGCTTGCTGCCTGCCTTGCAAGCACAAAGTCCCGAGTTTGATCCCCAGAAAAAGAGCTGGGTAAGTAAACAATGGACTTCTCTTCAGGTTTATTATTCCTTAGATGGGAGAATCTAGTGATCAGGACAGAAAACAAATGCCATTGACTGGGGAAACGTGGCTTTGAGATCTTCTGTGTAGGTAATGATACAAAATCCAAATTAATTTATCCTTTTCATGAATTCTGAAATTAGGTCTCAAGAAGACACATGGACAAATGAAAATTTCATACAAGGCAAATACAACCCTAATGTTA